GGGTCGTGGGCCGATTTCCAAACCTCGGGCCGGTTTGCGGCCATCATGGGATGAATGGGTGGGGGGGTGCGCACATACACACACATATATATATATACACATACAGACAGACAGACAGACAGACAGACAGACAGACAGACAGACAGACAGACAGACAGACAGACAGACAGACAGACAGACAGACAGACATACAAACGTACATACATACATACGTACACCCATACAAGCATACGTACATACAAACATACATACATACATACATACATACATACATACATACATACATACATACACACATACATACATGTGTACATACATACATACATACATACATACATACATACATACATACATACATACATACATGCATGCATGCATACATACATACATACATACATACATACATCCACGCACGCACGCACGCATACATACATACATACATACATACATGCATGCATGCATGCTTGCATGCATGCAAACGTATATACACGCATACACACACATACACATCCATACACACATACACATCTGCATGCATGCATACCATAGCAGCCAATACTGGCGCAGCAGAGCGGACATGAATACATCCATGCATACATGCATGCATACATACATGTAAACATACCTGCATACATCCATACATGCAAATCTACATACACACCTGCATACATACATGCATGCATGCATGCATGCAATCATACACACGTACATGCATACATTCATGCATGCATACATGCAGATTTGCATACAATATAGAGCGGGTGACATATCCTTTGTATGTATGTGGCCATGTATGCATATATGCATATGTGTATACATATATATGTATATATATATACATATATATATATGTACGTGTGGGTATGCGCTTCTTATGTGCAGTGCTATCACAAGGTGGTTGCACCAACGGTGTCTTGCGGTAGCGGGCGGCCCTCTCATATGTTGTTATGGACATCTCGTCACCCCAGAGATTAGTGAATGGCATGCACCGTTGTTCGAGGTGGTTGCACAGCCGTGGCGTTGCGCATCGCGATATTTCATTGGAGAACATCCTCCTGGGCGGCGAAAACGAGAACGAGGTGAAGTTGATAGATTTTGGCATGGCTACGCTCAGCAGGACCTTATCATCTCTGTCCTCCTCCTCCTCCTTAGCCGGTTCCTCCGCCACTCCTCCTTGTCCTCCTTCTCCTCCTCCTCTTCCTCTTCCTCCTCCTCCTCCTCCTCCTCCTCTGCCCCCTCCCCCTTCTCCGCCTCCTCCTCCTTCTCCTTTTCCTCCGCCTCTTCCATACATTGGGCATGGCTGCCCCAAGCAGGACCTGCAAGCAGAGCTGCGGCAAGAGGTCATACACTGCCCCCGAGATGCTCAAAGGCTTGTTGTTTTTGTTGTTGTAGTAGGTGGAGGAGGAGGAGGAGGAGGAGGAGGAGGAGGAGGAGGAGGAGGAGGAGGAAGAGAGAGATCGAGCAGGAGAGAGGAGGAAGAGGGAGGAGGGAGGAAGTGAGGGTAGAGGGAAAGGGGGGAGAAGGACGAGGAGATGGAGAAAGATGCCTTCGAGGCCCGCACGACCCTTTCACCAGCGACGCGTTCGCCGTCGGCGTGGTGCTCTACAGCCTCGCATCTCGCGCTTATCCTTGGAACTCGACGAGGCCCGGCAAGTGCCAGCTTTTCGACTTCATCTGTCAGCACGGCCTCCGGCGATACCTTCAGAAGCGGCGAGTGTGGAGAGGCAATGGCAACCAGACCCTGTCGCGGGTATTCAGCGAGCCGCTGGTCTGCCTAGTCGAGGGCCTGCTCAGCATGGAGCCGGCGAGTCGGACGACGATCTCCGGGCCGCGCCCCCTGAGCGGCGAGGGCCGCCCGAGCGTGTGGGACGCCGAGTGGCTGCGAGCTCCGAGCGTCTGAGGTGCCCTCTGGTGGCTCCGGAGCAGGCGGGCCCACACACAGAGGGAGCCCGCTCCCGAAGTCTGCCTGCACAGCCTGGGGGCCTCGGGCGTCCGAGTCTGGCCCCGCACCGGCCCCGGCCAGGCGAGGCCGCGGAGGGCCGAGGCCCGAGGCCCGAGCCCCCGAGCGGGGTGGCGGTAAGCACCGGGGCCTCCAGGGTGCCAAGGCCGTGCGGTGACGGGCCGTGCGGTGAGGCCTCTTTGGGGGGCCGAGGGGTCGCCGCGCGGGCTGCCACCGCGCGGGTTCTGGGATTCCCAAGTGCTGGGTTCGAGGAAGTATCTGCGCTTTTCTGGCCTCCGGGGGCCCGACAGAAACGCATCCGGGGTGAAAACCTACACCTTGTAGACCCCGGGATGGGTCTGGGGACAGATTTTGAGCGGATGTGGCTTCATCCCTCCCTCCTGGCAAATCTGTCTTCGCTGGCAAGTCATGGGAGCCGTTGGTACCTTCGCAGCTCCGGCTTTAGATTTCATTGGAGCGTGGTTTCGCGTTTGGGAATCGGTGAGACGGCGCGAATTGGCACCCGCTAGCGCTGAGTAAGCGTCGATGCAGCGGCGGCTGGCATCGGTTGGCGTCGAGCAGTTAGCGCCAACCGGACGGCATGGGAGACGACCGCGAGCCGCCGCAGAACATGCGCACTGGGGCCCCTGCCCCCAGCTCACACCCCCGTGGCCGCCTCCAGCTGGGGCCCGCGCCGGGCCGCCCCGCCTCCCCACCGACCTGGGGGCGGCGCCTCGGGAGCAGGAGGAGGAGGAGGAAGAGGGAGAAGGAGGAGGAGGAGGAGGAGGAGGAGGAGGAGGAGGAGGAGGAGGAGGAGGAGGAGGAGGAGGAGGAGGGAGAGGGGGGGCGATCTGGAGAGGAGGAGTGGCGAGGAGGAGGAGGACGAGGAGGAGGACTAGGACGAGGAGGAAGAGGAAGAGGAGGCGCGCCCCTGGACGGGGCCCAGCCGGAGATGCGACGAGGGCGGCCCCGACGGGGGCGGGCAAGCCGTGCTTCCCAGGGGGTGCGGGCGGCTCGGAGCCGCCTCTGGGGGCCCGGGGTGGCCCAGAGCTGGCCCTGGCCAGCAAGAAAAAGTCAGCTCCACCAAGGTTTTTGAGTGTCAGAGAGCTCATAATTTCTGGGTAGTCGAAGGCCAGACTGTCAGATTGGATTGGGCCCCAAGGGCCAATCTGGCCCGGCCAAACTGGATGATTTGCGTTATTCGCCAGACTGGATTCGCGTTGGCTCCCTCGCCAGATTGCCCCCGTTTGCCAGACTGGGCCTGCCAGATTGGCGCCAGATTGGCTTCGACTACCCAGAATTTGCTGGCGAGCGCGCTTGGTTCTCGAAGCGAATTGCCAAATCTCAGATACTTTTTAGAAGACCTCTAATTTCTTAAGTATGTATTATTTGAGCTCGGTCTCTGGAATTGAAGCGATAGGAATATTGTAGCTCCAGGTTCGAGGTTCTGGCTTCGGGAAGCTGTTTTGTTGTTGCTCGGCCTCCAGGGGCCGTGTCCAGGACCCGGGACCGTCAGAAACGGATCCGAGGTGAGAACTACAACAGACGGACGCTGGGAGGGGTGCGGGGACAGACTTTCGTGGGCTTCAAAGAGGGGGGGATGACTAGGGGTGGCGGACATCATGGCGTGGGCCATGATATCTCCCCAGATGTCATGGCGCCTCTTCTTATTTCATTAAGTCCCCGGCCCTCCTTGGGCCGCGCACATGCCGCCAGCCATGATTTGCGGATTTGGATCCATCGACTTTCCCGGCATATTTCCTGGGTTCCCAACTAGTTCAGGTCCCCAGGCCGCCTCCAGTATGCACAGGTGCTGATGTCCAGGCCTCCTATAATTAGATGGGGTCGGAGGAGATGGGGTCGGAGGGTCGCGCCGCACCGCCGATGCACCCGATCTTCTCCGCGCTGGAGTCGCCGATGCGTCGGCGATGCGGTGCGATCCTCCGACCCCACCTACTCCGACCCCATCCAGGAGGCCTCTAGGGTGGCTCCCGGCTTCGGCGGGGCTCCTCGGCGAAGGCGCGTAAGGCCCGCCACTGGGCTGCTCGACCCCATCGCGTCGCCTTCTGGGGCAGCACTGCTCTGGAGCACCACCACCTACCAAGCCACCACAGCCCAACCCGAAGGCCCAGAGTTACCTTCGATGTCCAGTGGGGGGGGGGTCGGGGAACATCGAAAAAGCACCTGCGGAACCTAACCCGAAACTTGGGTCTTCGGGTGAGGTTGGGGTGGTCTGGTAGGGAGTCACTGGATGGGGCAACAATCGCCCCCCCCCCCCCCCCCCTTGGATCCGCTTGGCGGGTTGGGCACGTGCTGTCGGAATGGGTGGAAGGGGGGCTGGAGGAAGAGGAGGAGGAGGATGAGGAGTGGTAGGAGGATGGAGAGGGGCGGGATTGGGCAGGCTCAGTCAGAAGGTTAATCCCCCCCCTTGTTTTTTTTTTCACGAAGAAAAATCCAGAGTAGGGGGGTAGGGTCGTTGGGGGGCGTGCGCCGGCCCCCGGTCGTCGATGGATCGCTGACCTGAGCTCCACAGCCCCCCCCGACGAGGAGCGTGCGCAGCCGCCATCGGGGGCCCGTCGCCGACCTGGCGGCGAGGTGTCGACGATTCGGTTTCGAGCCCCCCCCCCTCCTGAGCTGGTGCCCCGCCGTCGCTGCCCCTCGCTATCGGGGGCCCCGCTGTCGCTGCCCCTCGCTATGGGCGGAGGGGGGGCTGGAGGAAGAGGAGGAGGGGGAGGGGGAGGAGGATGGAGGGGGGCGGGACTGGGCAGGCTCGGTCAGAAGGTCAATCACATTTTTTTGTGTAAAAAGAAGAAAACATCCAGAGTAGGGGGCGTATCGCCGATCTGGCGGCGAGGCATCGACGATTCCGTTTCGAGCCCCCGCCCCCTGAGCCGGTGGTCGCTGCCCCTCGAAGCCTATCGCCGATCTAGCGTATCAACAGTTCCGTTTCGAGGTTCCCCCCCCTTTGAGCCGGTGCCCCGCCGTCGCTGCCCCTTCCAGCGCCGGGCTGGCCTCGGGGCTCTGCGCGGGCCTCCGAGCGCGTGTGGCCGTGTGGCCACGTGCAGCTCTGTGGCCCTTCTCCAGAGCCGCGGGTCGCGCGCGCGCTGCTCTCCCGACCGGCGGGGGCCCGGGAGGCGGGCGCCCGACCTGGGGGGGCCTGGGCACCTCGGCCCTCTTTTGGGTGTGGGGTGCTTTTCCCAGGGGAGCGAAACGTGGCATAAACTTGTGGAGGGCGATCCATGGAGAGGAAGCATGCTGCCAAATGATTTCTTGATGTGCGAAGCATGTTTCAGCTATGCTTCAAATACGTAAACACATGCTTGAAACGTTTTTGACATGTTTTATACATTTTAAACACATCTTTAGTTCAATGGTAGGATTGCTCGAGTGCCCATTGTCGTGGCATCGACAAGCGTAAACATGATAACTCGGAGGTCCGCGCGGATTTCTCGGATCCGCGCGGCCCTCTGAGTTTGTGTGTTTGTGTCAGTTGTCGTGCCCCTCGTTCTGGACGGGCCGAGGGGAAGGATCGCATCTGATGGCAAGCGAACAGCATGCGCGCAGCCACACCCCACCCGTCGGGAAGCCGGAGAGGGCTAGGGGGGCGTGTTGTCGGAGGGCTAGGGGGGCGTGTTGTCGGATGGGGGTCCCCGCTCGAACGGGCGCGCCCCCGAGGGTCCGACAGCCCGCACCCGTACCCGTCGCCAGCCTTCGTCCCCAAGGCACCCCTATGGGTATGGGTGTGTGTGTGTGTGTTTGTGTGTGTTGTTCGTTTCTGATATGAAACCAAGAAATCCGCGGATCCAAGAATTCCGCAGATCTGGTCCAGCGCGGATCCAAGAGGTCCGCGCGGCCCTCTGAGTTTGTACGTTTGTGTCAGCTGTCGTTCCCCTCGTTCTGGACGGGCCGAGGGGAAGGATCGCATCTGATGACGAGCGAACAGCATGCACGCAGCCACACCCCGCCCATCGGGAAGCTGGCGAGGGCCATGGGGGGCGTGCTGTCGGATACGGGGGTCCCCGCCTCGAACGGGCGCGCCCCCCGGGGTCCGCCGGCCCGCACCCATGCCCGTCGCCAGCCTTCGTCCCCGAGGCCCCCCTGTGGGTATGGGTGTGTGTGTGTGTGTGTGTGTGTGTGTTTGCACACGCAGCACTCGAGGATGGTGTTCTTGGCGCGCCGATGACGGCAACACCAATCCACTTTCCCTGTGGGACCGCGCCCCCTGCTCCTGTCCATGGCGCACCTTGTCCTGTGCAAAATCTTCGGCACCGCCTGTACTCTGCACCCTCCAGCCGCCTGAGACCCCGCCCGCCCGCGCCATGTCTTCCCAATTAGGGCTTCGCGCGCCCCGCCTAGCTCTTAACCGGAAGAGGCTCGCCCTCCTCGACCCGCAAGCCAAAAGTGTGTTCGTGTGTTGTTCGTTTGTCATATGAAGAAAAGCGGCGCAGGCAGACGCTCTCGACGGTTCGTATCGGGCTTTTTGGATCTAGGCCGAATCCCCCCGGCGGCGCCGCGGCGCCGCCCTTCTGACACCCTCCACGCGCCAGGGGGGGGGGATTCAGCGGCGATCCGAGAAGTCCGCGCGAACCTCTCAAATTTCAGGAGGGGAAAGAACGCACAGACACAAGTAATCGTCGACTCCCAGGAAGGTATAGGAAACTATGAGAAGCGGGGGGGAAGACGAGAACCCAGAAAAGATTGGACTGTGTGTTTGTTTGTGTGTCTTTGGGCCCCTGCAGCAGTTCCTGCTAGTGCACCCGTTGGTGTTTTTGTTTCTGCTGGGCCCGGGGAAGGGCGGCGGGAGGACCCGGGGGGGGGGGAGGATGGTGGAGGGATGGCCAGGGTGCCCAGCCCCCCCCCCGCTTTTGCTGTTTCAGTCGGGCGTGTCCCCCCTACGGGCGGGAGATGCCAAACCAGTCAAACAAAAAATAATGGGGGGACGACTTCTCAAAACATCGCCTCGGGGCGATGTCTCAACACTTTTTGGACTGTTTTGCAGTCTCTGTGGGGTCCTTGTGTGTGTTTTTTTTTTTTTTTTTGTTGTTTTCCATTGGTTCGCCCAGAACCCGCCCGTAGGAGGACATGCCCGACCTAGCTCTTGCCGTTGCATCTGTCCACCTGCCCTGGGCCTGACCCGGGCCCATCAGCACGGCGGGCTCGCACCGTGCCGCCACGGCGGCGACCACCCAGCGAGGGCGTTCGAGGCGGAGTGCGGCCAGTGGCCCAGGATTGAGGATTTGGCAGGCGTGGAACGATCCGTGCCATCGGGAAGCCGCGGTCGTTCAAGCAAGGGCTCCAACGAGGGCGCGAAGTTAGTCGCGCTTCGCGGTCCTCGTTCCTTCTCCCCCTCCTCCTCGTCCTCCTTTTCTCCCTTTGGGGGGGCGGCGCGAGAGCGTGAAGTTCTTCGCGCTTCGCGGAGCGCGAGAGCGCGAAGATGGGAGCCCTGGGATCGTTCAACGTTGCAAGATGTACGCGAAGCCAGAAGCCGCCTCGCAGTTCGTCACGACGCGAGCCCGCCGTAAGGTGGAGCGCGCCCTGCAGGGGCCGACCACCACAAGAGGGCGACGGCGAGAGAGCCTCGTGTGCAGAGCGGCCTCGACCGCTGGGCGGCCCGGCAGGTGCCCCCGCGCGCGCTCCTCTTCGCGGCGTTTTTCGGAACTCGTCCCGTCCTCGGGACGGCGAGTTTGACTTTTCCTATGGCAGAGTTTTGTCTGTCGCTTTTCCGGTCTGCCAGGGCATCTGTCTGCCGCTCTTCTGCTTGCCGGCGGGGCCGTCTGCCGCCCGGCAGCCTGCGGGCGGCCGGCCTCGTCGGGCACACGACCACGCGCGGAGCGGAACGCCCTTTGTGAGGGACCGCCCCGCCGCGTAATTGTCATGCAATCCCGAATGCACGGTCGGCCGCGTCTTGGCGCGCGTGCACGGTTGGACGCGCCTCAGGCTATGGGCATGCTATTCAGTAGGACCCCAGTGCACCTCCTCGGGCGGAGCGCGCTGCCGCGCATCGTCACCGAGAGTGTGCATCACCGGAGCGTGTGCTCACCAGATGGGCTTTGCCATCCACCAAGCTGGTTGGGTTGTTCGAAGTCCCGACGGTTGCGGCCGAAGTACAGGGTCAGGTCGGCCAACTTCTTGTAATTACTTTTTTCATGACTGCCACCAGTCTGGGCAGAGTGCACGCCTCTGCCAGAGGCGCGACGAAGAGATATGCTCCTACCTCCAAGTGGGATGCGCGATCGTCGTCCTCGCCATCATTGGCTGGGGAGAACGATGACGAATACCAGCGTGATGATGACGGTGACAATGACGATGATGATGAGAATGGTGATAATGCTGACAATGACGCTGGTGTTCGTGATGATGATGACGACGACGATGGCGATCACGATGATGATGCCAGTGATGATGACGATGATGATGATGACCATGATGATGATGCTGATGCTGATGCTAATGATGATGCGGGTGCTTGCGATGGTGATGGCGATGGTGATGCTGGTGATGGTGATGATGCTGATGATGATGATGATGATGGTGATGATGATGGTGGTGGTGGGGGTGGTTGTGATGCTGATGACGATGATGGCGTTGCTGATGATGGTGTTGGTAGTGGTGATGGTATTGGTAATGGTGATGGCGATGATGGTGATGATGCTGATGATGGTGATGACGATGATGGTCATGATCATGATCATGATGCTGGCAATAGTGATGTTGACGATGATCGTACATATAATGATGATGATGCTGATAGCAGTGATAAAGATTATGATGCTGCTGGTCCCGATGCTGATCATATGATGATGGTGATGTTGCTGATGTTGATGATGATCATATAATGATGATTCGGAAGATGCAGGAGATGATGTTGCTGGTTGTTGTGGTGATGGCGACGGTGAAGATGATGATGATGATGATGATGATGATGATGATGATGATGATGGTGATGGTGATGATGTTGATGTTGCTGCTGATGATACTGACGATGCTAATGACGATGCTGATGCTGCTGATGATGATACTGATGCTGCTGCTGATGATGCTGATGGAACTGTTGGTGCTGACGACGACAACGACGACGATGATGATGTTGCTGATGATAATGATGCTGTTGGTGATGATGATGATGATGATGATGATGATGATGCTGCTGACGATGATGATGGTGATGATGCTGATCATGATGATGTTGACGATGATTATGGTAATGGTGGTGGTGATAGTATTGTTACTGATGGTGGTGATGAGGCTGATTGGGAGTAATGGGGAGCAGGAGAAGAGGATGAGGAGGGGGAGGAGGAGGCGGAGGAGGAGGAGGCGGAGGATAGAGGTGGAAGAGGGGGGTGAAGATGAAGGCGTGGGGAGTAGAATGAGGATGAGGAGAAGGAGTAGGAGGAGGGGAGGATCCACTTGCCCTGGCACGCGAAGTGATCGGTGCGAGCAATGCGCTGTTCGGTGCGAGCGAGGCTGGAGGTAGCGGCAGCATTATATTTCACTCTCCCAGCTCGCTTGGACGAGCCATGGCTGCAAACTTGGGGCCGTTGAGCTCATTCTTCCCTGTCGCTAGTGATCCCCCTACAGACGAGGTTAGTGGCAGCAGGCGCTGGCGGCGACCAGCTTGACTTGTTCAAAAAGCGCGGGCCGCGTGAGCGGCACTGCAGTCCGTTCTTCCCTTAATTCTCCTCACCCTCCTCATCCTCCTGCTCGTCCGTAGCCAGTTTGGCCCAATATGCTTTCTTCCACTGCGGAACACGCGGAGACCTCTGACCCGAGGCTAGCTCACAGTCTTCCTCGGACGCAGCCCCTCGGTGAGCTTTCGGCGACCAAGGCCCCCTTCCCTCTCACGCCTCGGCTGCTGCATCGGGGCCTGCCGCCCGCGCCCCGCGTGTTTGCGAGGAGGTGGCCGTTGACGGCTCCCGCGCCTCGCGAGCCGCCTCGCAGCACCGCCTCGACCGCCCCCGCGCCTCGGCGTGGGCGGCGGGCCAGCGAGGAGAAGCGCCGCAGGGAGGGGGCGCAGCAGCCACGGCCGCACGGCGCGGGCGGGCCGCCGCGGCGGCGAGGCCTGCAGCAGCGGTGCACCGGGAAGGCGGGTTGAAGGCGGAGAGTTGCCGGCCATTGTTGTTTCCTTTTGTTCCCGCTCTGCCCTGCCGCCCTCCTTCACCGCCGATGTATATATATATATATGTATATACATGTACATATATGTGTATTTACATAGTGATGTGAGTGTTCGTGTGTGCGTGCGTCTGCTTGCCTTTCTGTCTGCCTGTCTGTATCTCTGTCTGTCTGTCTGCCTGCCTCTGTGTGTATGTTTGCATGCTTGCATGCTTGCATCTGTGTGTATGTATGTGTATGTTTGTGTGTGGGTATGTGTGTTTGTCTGTTCGTATGTATGTATGTATGTATGTATGTATGTATGTATGTGTATGCATGTACGTACGTACGTACGTATGTATGTATGTATGTATGTATGTATGTAGGCTTGCATGTTTGCGTCTATATATGTATATGTTTGTATGTTTGCATGTTTGTATGGCTGCCTATATAAATGTATATATATATTTATTTATATAGAACTATGTACAGTAAAGACGCTGGCATACGGACCACTGTGGGCTCAGGAGGGGCTCGGGTTGTGGGGCCGTTCCTTCGGTCCAGGTCGGAGAGCCTGTTCGTTGCCGAGGCCCACCGTTGCCCGAAACGCCCCTTCGTTTCTTCTGTGGCGTTCTGTCTGGCAGTGTCGTGACCGTACATAGGTCTTTTATATACATATATATAGTGTGTCTATATCGGAGGTGAGGGGGTGAGATCGAAGTGGAACGGAGAGCCCCCCTACCGGGAAATCGGTTTCGGTTTCGTGTTCGTGCGTGCCGTGAGTGCGGGCGAGGCAGTTGCGTGGGCGGGCGAGAAATGTCCCGCCTGTGGCTGAGGCGCGGCCGGACCAGATGTTTCCTGTCCTGGGCCCGGTGGCGCGCGGTGTCCTGCCGGTGTCCCGCCGGTGTCCCGTCGGTGTCCCGATGATGTTGATGATGATGATGACGATGTTGTTGATGATGATGATGGCCATAGTGGTGATGCTGATGGTGTCCCGATGATGATGATGATGATGATGATGATGATGATGATGATGATGATGATGATGATGATGATGATGTTGATGATGCTTATGATGATGATGGTGTCCCGATGATGATTATGATGCTGATGATCCTGATGATGTCGGTGATGATGGGATGATGAGATGATGATGAGGATGATGATGATTGTGATGATGGTGTCCCGATGCTGATGAGGCTGTTGATGATTCGGTTGACGATGATGATGGTGATGATGATGACGGTGTCCCGATCATGGTGATGTTGATGGTGATGATTACGATGATGGTGTCCCGATGATGATGATGGTAATGTTGATGATGAGGTGGCGATGACGATTTTGAGGATTGTGGCCCGATGATGATGTTGATGTTGATGATGATGATGATGATGGTGTTTCGATGATGATGACGATGTTGATGATGATGATGACGATGATGATGGTGACCCGATGATGATGATGTTCATGATGATGATGTTGATGATGATGGTGTTCAGATGATGATAATGTTGGTGATGTTGTTCATGGTGGTGATGATGAGATGATGGTGATGATGATGGTGGTGTTCCGATGATGATGATGATGACGGTGTCCCGATGATGTTGATTTTGATGCTGATTGTGGCAATGATTGTGTCCCAATGATGATGGTGATGCTGTTGATGATGGCCATGGTGGTGATGATGATGGTGTACCGATGGTGATGAAGTCGGTGATGCTGATGTTGCTGATGATGATGGTGTCCCGATGATAATGGTGTTGATGATCCTGAACAGGTTGGTGATGATGAGATGATGAACTGATGAGGACGATGCTGATTATGATGATGATGGTGTCCCGATGATGATGATGTTCATCATGATGATTTTGTTGATGATGGTGTCCCGATGGTGATAATGTTGGTGATGTTGTTCATGGTGATGGCGATGAGATGATGGTGATGATGATGGTGGTGTTCCGATGATGATGATGATGATGACGGTGTCCCGATGATGATTATCTAGATGTTGATTGTGACGATGATTGTGTCCCAATGATGATGGTGATGCTGTTGATGATGGCCATGGTGGTGCTGATGATGGTGTCCCGATGGTGATGATGTCGGTGATGCTGATGTTGCTGATGATGATGGTGTCCCGATGATAATGATGTTGATGATCCTGAAAATGTTGATGATGATGAGATGATGAACTGATGAGGATGATGTTGATTATGATGATGGTGTCCCGATGATGCGGATGAGGTTGATGATGATGCGGTTGACGATGATGATGGTGATGATGACGATGGTGACCCGATGATGATGATGATTCATGATGATGACGATGATGGTGTCCCGATGGTGATGATGTTGATGATGATGTTGATGATGAAGTGGTGATAATGATTTTGATGATGGTGGTCCGATGGTGATGCTGATGTTGACGATTATGATGGTGCCCCGATGGTGATGGTGATGGTGATGATGATGATGGTGACGATGAGGATGGTGTCCTGATGGTGATGTTGATGATGCTGTTGCTGATGATGATAATGATGGGGTCCCGATGGTGATGTTCATGATGTTGTGCATGATGATGATGAGGGGATGATGATGATGGTGGTTGCCCGATGGTGATGATGATGATGGTGCCCCGGTGATGATGATGTTGTTGATGATGGCGACGATAATGGTTTCCTGATGATGATGGTGATGATGATGTTGATGATGATGGTGATGAGGTGGTGATGATGATGATTATGACCCGATGATGGTGGTGATGATGATGTTGATGACGTTGATGACGATGATGTCGATGATGTTGATGATGACGTTGATTGTGATATCGATTGTGATATCGATAGTGAGATCGATCGTGAGATCGACTCTGAGATCGATTGTGAGATCGCTCGTGAGATCGATAGTGAGATCGATTGTCAGATCGATTGTGAGATCGGTCGAATGAAATAGATCGACTGAGATCGATTGCGGGATCGATCGAGTGAGATCGATCGAGCGAGACCGATAGTGAGATCGATCGTGCGACCGATCGAGTGAGACGTTGGTTCCTCCCCCCCCGAACCTCCTTATCACCCGAAGGGTGGTCGTATAGGCATATATAGATATGTGTGTATATACATATATAGGTACGCATGTTTGCACACCTCAGACGTTTGGCTCCGTTCTGCGAGTGGGCTCACATGGTTCGCTGCCTTGCTGCTGGGACTCTTCTCTTCGTTATGGGTGTGCCGACGTTCTGTCTGTACCTGGGGAAGTCGTCACGGTGTCCTGGTTCCTGCCTTCTTGTCCGCGATGAGCACAGCGGGGCTTCCGATGGGGCCGCTCATGCTCGCTGTTTGTTCCTTCCGTCGGCGCGCAGCCTGTCCGTCCTGCACGGCTTTCGACTTGCTTCGCGAGCCCGCGTACCAAAAAGAATGGGCTCCCACACTGCAGACTGGCCAGTACTCCAGTCGTAGTTCGATTGGAAAGCTCATGCTGCTTGTCCACCTCGTCCTCCACCGTCTGACTCCATCTTTGGTTTCACGCATGTGGCAGCAAGATCACAGGCAGCAGTCTTGCTTGATAGAGCTGCGTTCGTTTCCAGCGCTGTGGGAAGACGAAGAAGACAGAAGACGAAGACGAAGTGCGGAGGAGGCTGCGCGGGCGATGGCGCCCGACGACTCCGGCCTCTCGCAGGGGCGGCAGCTTTTTTTTTCCGGGCCCCCTTTAGGGTACAGAGTGCGATGTGGCTTCGGGGCCCTGTGCGCCGCCTTGCCGCGTGCCCTGCCGCGTGCCTTGCTGTGCTTCACTGCGCCCAGTGGCGGCGGCCACGGGACTGGCGCAGACGACGGCTGCGCCCCAGGCTGACGGGCTGCCGGCGGAGTTGTTGCGCGCTGAGGCTGCCTCGGTACGCCCGTTTTGAGACGCAGCACCCAACGTGCTTAAAACATCCGTGCCAATACGTTGCGTGTTGGCTCGGCGTATTGGCCCACGCTTTGGCGAACGTATCGCGTCATACCTACGTTTTCAGTGTCTACGTGTTGAGCTCCATATCAAATCGCTACTTGTCGCGTGTTGCGCATCGGGGCAGATCAAGCTGCGCGAAAACGCGATGTGCGAGCGTTACGCAGCAAGCAAACTGTGCCAAACTTACCACGCGGGAGCACGCCAAAAACAAACGTATGTTTTGCGTCGCAGCACGGCAGAGGCAATCCGCATGGGCTTTCGGATTGCCAGGGACATTTTTTTGATCTGCGGGGCGAGAGCGAACCTCTTCCGCTAAAAGCTAGGCGGGCTACGCACAGCTTTAGTTAGGGAGACAAAGCACAGGAAGGCGGGGCCTCAGGCGTGCAGGAGCGGGCGGGGCCCGGGGAACAGGCGGTGCCGAAGTGGACGTGCAGGAGAAGGTACGCCTTGGACAGGAGCCGAGGGCGAAGTCCCGGACGGCGAAGGGAGTGGTGTTGCCGTCAACGGCGGGTTGCCGGGGGCACGCGACAAACGAATTGTCAGGTTGCACGAGAGGGCACGGGGCGGAGGGGCGGCCGCAGAAGAAAGGCAAACACAAGACGTGACGTTTTTTTCCTTTCGCAGCCGACCTATGTCGTGTGCGCGCGTAGTATTGTTCTCCGCTTCCGGAGCCCTCTACGAATCTCAGCGCGAAGCGGGGCTCGTGGGCTTGGCGGCGAGGCAGGACGCGGCAATGCGTGATCTGTGGATGGCGCAACGAACGCGGCCCGCAACGTGGATTCGTGCCACGCGCAGATGAACCCGATCAACAGGGCGTTACCCATCATTAACTCTCGTTTCGCGTTTGGCACAGCGAAGTGCCCCCCTGATGTGCTCGCCCCTTCCCTCCGCACCACTTTCCTTCTCCAACTCCACCTGGCCCGCCTCCCCTTTTCATGAACTCCTGATCCAGTGCTCTTGTGTTCCTCCAGCTGTTGCTGCTGCTGCTCATCATCCTCTTCATCCTACTCCACTCCCTCTCC